AGAGCCACAGCCCCGCCATGACCCTCCCTGGGTAGCTGGTCCAGCAATCATTTCCTCTTCAATCTGCAGAGCAAATCTGGAGCTTGGGAAGGGCGTGAGGGGCATCCCTAGTGAGAGACAAGGAGGAGAAATGTAAAAGCATCTTTTAATATAAATATAAATCTGTCTGAAGGGCTGCTGGAGAGGGCCATGCCCCGTGAGGGATGCCCAGGGGTGAGGTGGGCTTGGTGGGGACCGCAGGTGCCTGTGCCCGGCCAGCACCGAAGGGACCAATGCAGGATGTCCCTGGCACCGGGATGAGCACACGGCTAGAGCTGGGGCACCAGCAGCATCAGGACCAGCAGGGACAGGAGCGGGGGGCATAGAGGGGCGGCCAAGCCTCGCAGCGTGGCCTGTTTGGTCTCGGCAGCCGGGGAGCTGCGGGCGCTGGCCAGGCGTCCCCGGCCACTGCACAGCTCCTGCAGGTTCCCCTGGAACTGGATCTTGCGGGATTCCTGGCGCAGAGACTCCCAGATGGCAGCTGCTTCCTCGGGGCAGCTTGACAGCACCTCGCTGGCACAGGCGTGGAAGTCATCCCAGGACCTGGGGAGATAGGCAGGAGTTGGGGCACCACTGGTGGCCAGTCACCCAATCATCATCCCAACAGCTCCCACAGGGATGGGTACACTCACTTGCAGATGGTGTCCAGCTCCTGCACCTCCTCAGCACCCTCATCCTGCTGGCGCTGCACACTCTGGACCATGCTGTCCCCCAGGCTGATGAGGCAGCTGGCAAAGCCCTTGTAGATGGTGTCGCACATCCCGGCCTTGCTTAGGGGCTCCTGGCTCACAGCTGCAGGGGAGAGGAAGAGATGGAGCTGAGCCCCTGCAGATCCCCCTACAGCCATTGCCTGCTGTGGGTGTCTCTGGGCAGTGGTGACACTGTACTCAGAGTGACCCTTGCTCCTGCCCGGGAGCCCAGTGGGGCACAATGTGATGACCCCACAAGCAATGCTGCCATTCACCACAGGGGAAGAGCAGGAGCCAGCCGCTTTGCCCCAGCCTCCCCGGAGCCATCTGTCCCAGCCCTGATCCCCTACCAGTGAAGATTAATTTGTGACTACAGCCAGGAAAAAAACAAGGCTTAGCAAGATGGAGTCCCTGCTCCTGCTTGGGTGGGAGAGAAGGGGGACAGGGAAGGATAAAGAGAAAGGAAAGGAGCCAGGGAACAGGGACAGGGAAGGAAAAGGACAAAAGGAAGAGGCACAAAGGCAGCTCCATCTGCTTCAATCTGAGAAGCCCCAATTCCCTGCTCTGCTCTACAAAGGATTCACCACTGGGACTGGACAAACCCCGACGCCAGCAACAACCTGGCAACACCTGTGACTGTATCCACAGCTGAGGGAAGGCCCAAGTACTGGCGTGGGGCTGGTCACAGTGAAACACCCAGTGCCAGGTTCCCAAAGCCAAGTCATGGGAGTTGTGAGACTCTAGGAAGTGCTGCAGGCGCACACCCAGGAGGTCTCTGCACTAAAAACGGGGAGGAGTGCCAGAGGGGTCCCCTGTGGGAAGGTAACCCAGAAGTGGACAGAGTTGCCCAGTGGCTGCTGAAGCTGCGAGGATGGCTCCAGGGAGCTGTATGCCGTGCCGCTGGCATCCATGAAACAAGGCCCTGGGCTGTAACATCGGGGCGAGCCTGAAATCTCAGCCCATTACAGAGCACAGGGGATGCTCATGACTAGAAACCCGCTGAGCACAGCTGAGTCTCAGCCTCACATCAGCTACGTGGGTCACCCTATCGCAGGTATCCATAGTGGGATCTCTTGCTCCTCTTCTGACCTTCCCTCAGTAGGAAGTTGGGCAGGGCAGGCAAGGAAGGAGAAACCAGGAGGGCAAATCACCTCTGCTACCCCTCCCCAAAACCTTGTAGGAAACCTGCTGCTGGCTTTGCCAAGGAGAGACCCGCAAGCGGAACACACGGGTGGAGTTTTCCTTGGGGTACTGCAAAGCATCGCTGGCTCCCA